AGTTCTGGGGGGGGAAGATACTTCTTCCAACCAGCCTTTTCCTGTTGGGATTTCCCAAGTCAGAAATATTGTCCTCCTTTTCCTCGTCCTCTCACAGCCCTTCAAGTGAGCAATGACTGTCCCCACAACCACTGCGGCTGCGTGTGGTGTGGGAGGACAACTTGAGAAGCCCCTTGTCCCACAGAATGCTTGAAAACTCCTTGGTTTTAAGACAGATTAAGCTCCTGTGTCTCATTCAGCTGCTTAAAGCAGCCACTGAAGTATTCTGCTACATTGAGTCTTAAATGAGGAAATTAAGCCATGAGTCCAGGTTACTTTTTTATTAATAAATTGTTGAGTGCTGCTGAAACACATGCATGTGAAAACAGAACCGTCTGCTTGAACACAGACCCATGTCTGCTTCCATCCCTCCCATTTCCATCCCTCTCCAGCATTTCAGTGTATTTCAGGGAGAAGCATATATGAAAGCCCAATCGCTCAGTTTCAATTTTCAGTGAATTGGAGTTGCTGTAAGCTCTGTATTGTCTCCTTCTGTGCAGACTCGAGTCTGTCCCTGACATTTCCGCACCTCATTCCCTTTCGCTTTTGCTATTCTTGCCGAGACCTAGTTTCAGGGTTGCAGACCCAGGATGGGCCCCTGGCAGTTTTAGTTTGGAAGTGAATTTTGGTAAATCAAATCCCTTCGATACTCTAAGAAATGGTCCCTGGAAGGTGACCCAGGTGGGAACTGGGTTTCTTCTGGCCATCACACACACCAAGTGCCTCAAGTACCCTCCCCAGCCTCATACCTATGCATCAGTTGGAAACCAATGGCATGAAAAAGCAACAGGTCCTTTAATTCCATCACTTTTGATGCTTTATGCAATCAAAGATCAACACCAACTTGATTTGTTTTCCCTTCTCTGTGCACAAACTCTATAGTCTCATAATAACCTACATACCGATTTCCACATATTTTCTTCATTAGGTAGTACCCTTCCTGTGGCCATACAGAGAGGCTTTCTAAGTTGCCTATCAAAATTAAAAACAAATGGGTGTATCATCCAAAAAAAACCCAAAACAAACTATTATAGCCTTGGATGTTTAGGGAAAAAAAAACAACCAAGTTTGAGGCTGCTATGCTCGAGGTTTTCTGAGTTTCAACCCTGCAAGTGCTGTAAAAAATATATCGAGCTGCGAATTATTAAAGGGGACGGGAAACTCCTGCAAGGTGAGCTCGGATGCAGCCAGGACTTCTCTCTTTCTAGGTAGAATTGTGTTTTAAAAGCAATTTTCCCCCCTCCCGTGGTCCGTGCCGGGGTCGCAGCCGCTGCCCGGCGGCTCTGGTCTGGCGTCCCGGGGTGGCTGCAGTCCCAGGCGGGGCAAACGTTTGCTGGACCGAACAAATCGGGCTTTTCCTCCTCATTTCTCCGCCGGTTTCTCCTCCAGCCGAGAGCGGGAGGAATCGCCTATTTCTGGCACTTTCTTGCCCGCAAATTGTTGCTGAAGAGGGTGATGGAGGCTGAGGGATACGGGAAAATGCAAATGGGAAGCCTTGGGTTTCGGGTTGTTCATTATCATCAACAAAAAAAAAGGGGGAAAAAAAAAGAAGGGTTTTGCCGTCAGAATAAAGAGAAAATGGTGCTTGAAATGAATTGAAAAGAACCCCCTTTCCCCCCGTTTTTTGGTTGCAACAGCAAATCGCACAGGGATCTGTAATGCGGGTATTTCGCAGCCTTGCAGTGCCATTAACATTCAGCACACGGGGCTCTGCAGCAGGGACAAAATGGTCTGGAGTGCGGATGAACAAAACCCTATTAGAAAACCATGAATGGATTAAATTTCATCTCGGAAAATTGAAATATTTCTCACTTGGACGCTTACTTTTGTAGATCAGAGAAAAAAATCCCAACAAAATGAGAGTTTTAGCTGCTGTTTAGGGGATGTTTCATCCCAGCGGCACTTCCAGAGTGGCGTGAGACCCATCAATGGCAAATCTACTCACAAATAATAAACCAGTTTAATTTTTAATTTTTTTTTTTAATCTTACAGAAAGCAATTAAGTCATCCAGCAGAGAAAGATAACATTGGTTCCAGTAGAAAACTAATTCTATTTTGCCTTTGTGCAGAACAGACTATAACATTTCGACAAAGCACTTCCCTAGCAGTGCTTTAGAGTAATGAATTTCATTTTAAATTTATTGGATGTCACTGGAATGAGGATTTTTTTTTCTGGTTTGTTTACAGGTCTAAAATTACATGGTACTATACAGCAACACACACACTAAGTGGGTCTCAGGGTTTGAAAAAATACTGGTAAAAAAAATAAGAAGAAAGAAGGGGAGAGAGGACGAAGTACCTTTTATAGGTTTTTTTTTTTAAACTTTTTGAATCGGATTAGGAAACAAATAGGGTGAGGAGGTAAAAAACTGTACCTTTGATTGAGCTGGAGGAGAAGCAGGGCAAGACAGAGCAGTCTGAGGTCCCTGTTAATGACATCCCGTCAAGATGCTTGTAAGACCCAAGAATGTTTACAACGTGGGCTCAAGTTCAATGACAAAATCCTTTGAAGGGGAGAGGGGAAGGGGGAAAAAAAAAAAAAGCAGCCCAGACACTTTGTGCAGTGGGCATGAACTTGAACAAAAGAAAGGAGTCAAAGGCTGGGGCAAAGGGGGGGAGGTGTGAAGGGACTGGGAGAGGTGATCTCTGTGGCTGCCTTGTGCTCCTAGGTGGGTCTTTGGGACATTTTCATGGGACTTAGGGGAAAAGTAAGGAAGAAGAAGGGAAGAGGAAGGGAAGGGAAGAGGAAGGGAAGGGAAGATATCAATGATGTGTGTGCTTCACCACAAGGAGGGGGGGTAGGGGGTCGGGGGCAGGGAATGAAGGTCTCTCACCAGTGACTCTGCTTTAAGCACAATTTTCTTACTACAACCACCACAAAACCCACACCACACCTCCCAACCGGGAGATTCCAGGGCTGCTCTGCTCCACGTTTTGAGGCTGCTCTGCCCCAGGTTTTCTGAGTTTCAAGTTCAACGGCAAAGGGAGGGGGTGGGAGCCTTCACCTGGACCGGCGCCCCCCGGCAGCGGCTCCTTCCCGGCGTTTTACGAGGATGTCGGGCCTTTCTCGCCCTTTGCTGAGGCCGCCGTGTAAAGGTTTTACAGCTCGCCCCGAGACTCTCCACCTCCTCCTCCACCTCCTCCATCTCCTCCTTTTCCTCCTCCTCCCCTTCCCATCTGCATTTTCCATCTGCATTTTCCTCCTTGGATTCGGGGCTGGAGCTGAGGACAGGGATGTGGGGCAGGAGGGGGTCACGTCTCCCAGTTTCAGCCCAGTTTCCCACTGGGGAAAAGGGGTCCTAACTAGGATAGAGGTGTCTGCGAGGGCCACTGGCTGTCCCCTTCGCGGAGCTTCTGGCGTCACGCGTGACATCACGAGCGGGGACAGGCTGCACCCCGGGGTGCTGCCGGCACCTCCTGCAAAGGACAGGGGGAAAATATCTGGGTAAAACGGGGAAAAACGGGGAGAAAACCGGGAGAAACCGCGTCTGGCTCCCCTCCGCTCTCCGCTGGGAACCTGCTAGGCGTCAGAGCCAGCCCAAGGCTAAAATATTGAATAAATATATTATTAAACAGGAACAAAAATCACTGTTTAAACCGCTCATTATTTAGGGCACGCTGCGGTTTACCGCTTCGAATTTCGAAAACGAATAAGAGGCAGAAAAAAAGGCAATGTTTTGCTTGTGGTTAATGGTGTTTTGGAGTTTCTTCACCGTTTGCGAAGGTTTTTGGGGTTTAAACGCGGGTTTAAAGGCGAAGCTGGGAAGACTCTGAAACACCGAGAGACGAAACACAGAAATTATGTCCGTAGGGTTTGCCCTTCCCTGGAGCTGCAAATAACCCGAAAAAAAGCAGAGAAAAGCGCGTGTTTGCGTATTTTTACTTTCACCCTATTTATTCTGTTGAAAAGGATGACGGCGTTTCTTAGTATTAACCAAAATCATTCAGTATTGTACGGGGATTATCTCAGCACATGCTACAAAACGTATAGCTGTAATTCTGTATTAGTAGGAGAAGGAAAATGCGTGTACAAATAGTCATATATTAGCACAAACGAAAGAGCATATGGAATTATACGAATTGCATTTACCTGTATCAAAATAGAGGCATGAACATACATATGTCTATACGTACGTATACAAACACGTGTATATACACCTTTGAGTATATATTTATAACCACACATCCAGTACTATACTGCATGTATATGCGAATATGTCTGGGTAGCTGGGTATATATAAAACCACATACATAAATGTCGTATATGAAACACGGTAAAATAATGTGTATTGCTAAATACGTGCATGTGCATACATGTATGTATATTTTATATATAACAGCGCAAAAAAAACGTAGTACGTGCTTTCATAAATGTGTGCCTACGGGTACATATATGTCATACACATATACTGTACATTCACGCAAACCTGCGCGTTTCTGCAAACAATTCCCGTGTGTTTCTGTACAACACACTCGGACTGTATTAATCTTCCCTTAAAGAAGCATTTTTATACTTCTGCTCGAATTAAGGAGATTTTTTTGTCTCTGCTATAATTACGGCTTTTCCTTTCCAAAGACCAAATTCCCTGTGACCACCTCCCCTCCTCCCCCGAGACAGTCCCACTCCGGCAGCATGCAAGCGAGCCGGGAGTTGCGTATTGGGGTTAATGAATGCAATCAGATAAGTTTTTAATTATTCTTTCTTAAAGCGGTGGGAGAACGACGTGGCAGCAGCATCGTAAGGCAAGAACAAACCGTCCAGGCTTCCCTGCATGCAAAGGGGGCAGGGATGGGGGTATCTTCCTAATTTGCCCTCCTTTGCCGGGGGGGATCTCCTCTCCCGGGTGCAGCGGGGAGCCGCGCCCGGGGCGGCGGGGCCGGCTCAGCCCCGGTACCGGAGCCCCCCCCCTGGGGTGGGTGGGCAGACGGGGACCCCTTGGGGGCTTGCAATGGCCGTGTCCTCACGAGGTGCTGCCGCTGGTGCTGCTTTTGATTTTGGCGACGACTTTTTTCTCTTTGACCCTCCGGTTCTGGAACCAGATGGTGATCTGGCGTTCGCTGAGGTTGGTGACGGCCGAGATCTTCCTCCTCTTGTCGCGGGTGATGAACTTGCTGCTGGCGTACTCCTGCTCCAGCTCCTTCAGCTGCCCCTTGCTGTACGGGACCCGCTTCTTGCGGCCCCGCCGGAAGGAGCAGCCGTCGGGGGGCAACTGCGCCGTGGAGTCTGGCGAGGGGCAGAAACGGGGCTGAGCGGGACTAGGGAGTCCCCACGCACCCTCCCCGCACCCACCTCCCAGACCTTTTCCTGCAAGAAGCATCCTCCTTCCCTACCACCCCATTTCTTCCCTCCATCCTCCCTGACAACGATAATATTAAAAGATGTTTAAGTTATATATTATTCTTTTTCTATATATTAAGTGATATATTCTTGGATTTATATATTCTTTCTCAGCTATATGCACTTTTAGTTACAAACTCTTTAAGTTACATATTTTGTAAGTTATGCGTTCTTCCTAAGCTATATATTCTTTAAGTTATATATTCTTCCTATTGATATTTAAAGATTGTTTTTCTTCTCTGAATTTATTTATAAATAATTTTTTGAGTGGAAAACTCAGGTGTTCGCAAAATACCGACATGCCTGAGACCCGCGCTATCACCCGCGGTTTCAACGCGGCCGAACAGAGTCGGGGGCGAGTTCAACCGCACCGCCGCGGCGTGGGCGAGGGTGCGTGGGAAGGCCCCCCCCCCGTTTACGGCCCTGCACAGTGGGGGCCATGCCCACTCCAACTCTCTTTGGAACAACCTGACTCCGAGCGCTGTTTGCGGCGAGGGTGGCTGCCGAGGTCGTGTCTGAATCCGGAGAGCATTACCACTTAAACCTGCATAGTACCACCAGCTAAACCCGGATAATATCACCAGCTAAATCTGGAAAACATCACCGCCCTAAACTCGGATAGTATCACCATCCTCCTCCCCGCTCGGAGGCCGATGAGTTACAAACGGTAGTGTTAATCTAAATTATTATTATTATGTGAAACCTACTCAGTCTACTGAGCAAACTCGCATGTAAGTTTTACTGGACGGCAATAACAGGACCCCAGCACATAATTTGAAGCCTTGGTCCCCTGCACGATACCCCCCGACCCTCCGCCTCCTCTCCCAACCCCGCACAGGGTGTTTACCTGCAAAGGCGGATTTCAGGAGGTACCCGGCCTGGCCCTGCTCTTTGGGGCAGCACATCTGGCTGCTCCACCCGTGAGCCCACGGCTGATGGTAACCGTCCACGGGCAGCAGAGTCTCATGCCGGGCCTCCCCCGGGCCCCCCAGCCCCGGTACTACCGACACGTCCAGGTAACCGGCGACGGGCTGGTAAGGGGCCCCGTAGCTGGGGTAGAAAGCAAACTCGGCGGGGCGGCTCTGGAAGTCCTCGCTGCCCC